TTTTGTTGACCTTTGTCCATGGAAGGTCCCTGCAAAATTTCATTGAAATTGGTTCAGGGGTTTTGGAGAAGAAGTCGAAAATGTAAATTGTTTACGGACGCACGACGGACGACGGACGACGGACGACGACGGACAAAAGGCGATCGCAATAGGTCACATGAGACTTTGTCTCAGGTGACCTAAAAATCCTTTAATGACATGACATGTATGTATATTGTTTTTCACTTAATTTACATGCTGATTTCCACATCACATCTAAACAATAAAACAAAGCTACCAGTACCTATGATATAACTCAGGTGACCGCTATGGCTCTTGGGCCTCTTGTTAATTTTTTAATTTTAGTATTGTCATACACATTAGATATACTGTGAACTACTATTTTGCCAAATTCTATAAATGATTAACAAATGTTTTATATTTTTTCCCAAATATTCATCAAACTATGAGTTAATTCCAATTTTTTTTCAATTACAATCAATATCCTATTTCTTAAGTCGAAATAACAAGTCACTTTCTATTCTGGCTAGCAGTGATCATACATTGTAATCCATTTTTTAATTTTCCATCTCTGATCGAAATACATTTTCTATCTTTTAACAAATGGTAACAATCCATTTACTAATTTCCAGACTTTTTACTCTATCTTTTAACCGATACTGCAACTGCAAATTTATCAAAATTTATCACAGTCAAATTTCTTGGTTTAGTACAATCCATGGAGTAATTGTTGACAATGTGTACATTCTCTCCTGCCATAGTGCCAGGTTGGGGTATTTTTAATAATTATGATAATAATTTTTATTATGATCATTTTACTTTTTTTAATTTCTTGGTTTAGTACAATCTATGGAGTAATTGTTTATGCTTTGAATAGAAACTTTCAGCTCCTTTTCATTCATTCAATCAGTCATAGTTTCCAGCATAATTAGGATCCATAGTCGTAGTCTGGGGTTCCTTGACGTAAGGTCATGAAGAAGTGTATGTGGTCGTCTGGTTTAACAAAGGTGTCCTTAACACAGGGCAATGTGTACATTCTCTCCTGCCATGGTGCCAGGTTGGGGTATTTATCAGCAGTAATGGCCGACTCTGGAGAAACCACAGTCATCACTCCCAGTCGTTCAAACCACGGCCATATCATGAAGTCCACATTGCATGGTGCAGAGCCTACAAAAAGCAAATTATGGTTTTGCAGTCTAATAAAGGACTTATTCAAAGATCCAAGTTAATTAAATATGTACACGTGTACCTTAGAAACTCATCATTTAATTATTCACCTGTTCTCAGTTATATATTTTGTGACACAAAATTATTTTATGCTAAAGATTTTTCTCTGTGAAAGATTTTATAATATGTTTTTTTGTTGTTGTTTGTGTCTTGATAAACAGCTTCAAATTGGACAAATTGCTTTGTCCCAACTCTTGCTATTACTCCTTTGTTATAAACCATTGACATTTGTACAAAAATTGCTAATGAACAAAATGTTTGATATGAAAACAGTTGACCCCTGTGACCTTGAAATAGAGCAAGGTCATTACGTCGAACTAAATGTATAGCCCTTCATCTCCGAATGCAACTTGCGAAATATAACCTTTCTAGACCGTTTGTTTATAACAAGAGGCCCAGTGGGCCTGCTTCGCTCACCTGGTATTAATATCACACTTGTAATTTTAAAAATGGACTAACTACAGCTACAGGCAGAATATCAGTGTTTATTTCATAAAAACCTATTAAAAGATTTAAACATATGACGCCTGTGACCTTGAAATTGTCGAACAAGGACATTAGGTTGAAAGTGGGTCAAGATCATTCATTTGAACAAACTTGGTAGCCCTTCATCCAAACATGCTTCAGGCTAAATTTCATTACCCTGGGCCTTTTGGTTATTGAGAAGTCGTTTGAAGATTTTAACATATTTGACCCATGTGACCTTGAATATAAGTCAATGTCATTCATTTGAACAAACTTTGTAGCCTTTTATACCAGCATGCTACAGGCCCAATATCAGTACCCTGGGCCTTTTGGTTATTGAGAAGTTGTTTGAAGATTTTAAGACATTTTACCCCTGTGACCTTGAAAGTGGGTAAAGGTCATTCATTTGGACAAACTTGGCAGTCCTTCTTCTCAGCATGCTACAGGCCAAATATCAGTACCCCTGGCCTTTTGGTTATTGAGAAGTTGTTTGAAGATTTTAAGATATCTGACCCCTGTGACCTTGAAAGAGGGTCAAGGTCATTAATTTGAAAAAACGTTGTAGCCCTTCAACCCAGCATGTTACAGGCCCAATATCAGTACCCTTGGCCTTTTGGTTATTGAGAAGAAGTTGTATGAAGATTTTACGACATATGACCCCTTTGACCTTGAAGGTTGGTCAAGGTCATTCATTTGAACAAACTTGGTAGTCCTTCATCCCAGCATGTTACTGGCCAAATATTATTATCCGAAGTCTCTTAGTAATTCAGAAGAGGTTGTTTAAAGATTTTAACATATTTGACCCCAGTGACCTAGAATATAGGTCAAGGTCATTCATTTGAACAAACTTGGTAGCCCTTTATTCCAGCATGTTACTGGCCAAATCGCATCACACTATGCCTCTTGGTTATACAGAAGAAGTTGTTTACATGTTTCAAACATATTTGACTCCTGTGACCTTGAATATCAGGCAATGTCCTTTATTTGAACAAACTTGGAAGCCCTTTATCCCAGCATGCTTCTGGCCATATAGCATCACTCTAGCCCTCTTGGTTATACAGAAAAGGTTGTTTAAAGGCATTAAACATACTTGACCCCTGTGACCTTGAATATCAGTCAATGTGATTTATTTTAACAAATTTGGTAGCCCTTCATCCCAGCAAAAGTCATTGAAATATTTTAACATATTTGACCCGTGACCTTAAAAATGGGTGAAGGTCATTCATTTGAATAAACTTGGTAGCGCCTCATCCTAGCATGCTACTGGCAAATATCATCACCGTAGGCCTTTTTGTTATTCAGAAGAAGTTGTTTATGTTTTTAACATATTTGACCTCTGTGACCTTGAATATGGGTGAAAGTCATTCATTTGATCAAACTTGGTAACCCCTTATCCTAGCATGCTACTGACTAAATATCTACATCCTGGGAATTTTGGTTATTCAGGAGAAGTTGTGTAAAGTTTTTTTAAGATGATTGCCGCATGTGACCTTGAATATGAGTGAAGGTTATTCATTTGAACAAACTTGGTAGCCCTTCATCCAAGCAAGCTGTTGGCCAAATATCATAACCCTAGGTTTTTTGGTTATTCAGAAGAAGTCATTAAAAGATTTTAACATATTTGACCCCTGGACCTTGAAAATGGATGAAGGTCATTCATTTGAATAAACTTGGTAGCCCTTCATCCCAGCATGTAACTGGTCAAATAGCATTACCCTAGGCCTCTTGGTTATTCAGAAGTAGCCGTTAAAAGATTTTAACATATTTGACCCATGTGAACTTGAAAATGGATAAAGGTCATTCATTTGAACGAACTTGGTAGCCAACATGCTACTGGCCAAATATTATCATCATAGGCTTTTTGGTTACTGAGAAGAAGTTGTTTAAAATAAAAAGTTCATGCCGGACAGATGGCCGGATGCCACAACATGGCATATTAGCTCACCTGCCCCAAGGGCAAGTGAACTTATGCCATGGTGTGGAATCCGTCCCGTCCAGAAGATTCCTAAAAATTCAAGGTGACTGGGAAGTTTTCATTATTATAAAATTACATATTATTAAAAACAAATGTCGACGTTTCGTTACTTTTGATTTACAGTCATAACTGTGATAATTCTTTTTGGATATTAAACTGTGTAAATTCTACTGAGAAATAAAACAGTGAAAAAAAATTAATCTATGAACTTAGATATTTCTTGCCCTGAACTGTGAATGTGCCTTAATAATTTGTTTGGATTTTAATAATACCAAAATCAAACTAGAAATTGTTGGCTAACAATTTGACAGGCTTTTCACTGTAAGGACTGATTTGGCCTTCTAATAATAACTTGTGCAAGTCTACAGTAGCTGACTGAGAGGTGGGGGATTCCCGGAGTGCGAAATGACATCAGAGAAAGAATGGATAAATATAGGCAGCCAATGGGCGGTGTTGTAGACGAATGTAGTCCGTAAAAGTCGTCATATAGTCCGTCCACTATGTACGTCAGGATGATGAATTGAAACTTGCTTTTTGTCTATATCGGCTGGGTTTGCCATGCAAAAGAAAGGCTGATGTTTAACCACTGCAGTAGAGATGTAAACTGTCCATACTTTTCAGATTGAAAGTGCGTAGTAATCGAGGTAGTATTACCAGCGTGTATTAGATGTCTTGATATAAATCAAAGTACTGAGAACACTTCAAAATCGCACAAAAATGAAAACGGTTTTTGACTTTCACCTTTGAAATTATATTTAGAGTAGGTCAAGGTCATTCATTTGCACACAATATAAAGCCCTTCATTCAAGCATGCTTCTTGCCAAATATCGTCACCCTGCAATAATTGGTTATTCAGAAAAAGTGGTTTCAATATTTTTTTTCATATATGACCTCCGAGACCTTGGACGTCATTCAAGGTCAATAATTTTTTCAAACTTGATAGTCAATTACCTGACCATGTTATGTATCAAATAGTAGGACTCTAGACCATGTAGAAGTTTTTTGAAGTCATTATAGAATAATTTGATATGTAATGATAAATTATAGTTTATATATAACTGTGTAAGCCTTCCATTGCCTTGGCTGCTGTAGTTGTAGATGTGATAGTTTTGTTGTTATATATATATGTTTGCAATATTAAGTGTTATAGGATATAAGGCTTTTTCCCTTATGTTCATTTTTGTAATTCCTTCTTTTACCTGGTTATGGAATGTGTTCTTCTTCGAAGAGCGATAGTGTTTACCTATGCAAATTAGATGTCTTACCATATTAGGTTTCGTAGTATATGTTAATCAGTCCATAGTAACTTTTGACCAATCAGCGATTACGTCTTAGAGGGGTGTTGGTATTGCCAGCTTGAGTTTCATTCCTCGTAGTGCTGGCAGATTACACTTGTTTGTTTTGGCTTACCCCCCCACCAACCCCTGCATCGCCTCTAATTAATTTGCCTCATGATCATGAGTTTTTGTGTAATTGTTGGTTCTTTTTTCAGGTTCATGTATATGTATACAGTAACTTCATATTTGTCTATTTTGTCGATTTATTACATGCTGCCCCTTTGTGAGGCTTCTGTGAGGCTTCTTTTTGCCGCTTCATGTTGTATGTTATATGTAATGATTATGTTAGGTGGGGTACTCACTCTATTGATCGAGACTTTATGAACAACTATGTGTAAATTTAGGCTTGGCTTTAAATTCTTTGGGAATTTTACCCCCAATCTCTTAAATAGATTATTACTTCACTTTATCTGTAGCCAGTTTTCTCATGGTAAATCTAACAGATATATTCAAAATAACTCAAAACTTGACCTGGTTAACTCAAAATATTTTTCTGCCAAAAATGTGCGCATTTGTGTTGTCCACATCATACCTGAATATAAAGTGAATCTATCGAACAATTTCCGAAGTATTCTTGATTAAAGTTTTTTTTTTTTTTTAAACATTTGACCTGTGTGATTTAGATAGTTGATCAAGGTCAACCATTTTTTTGAAACCTGATACCCAAACACCTCAACATCTTAAGTATGAAATATCAAGACTCTAGACCTTGTGGAACTTAAGACGATTTTTATAGTTTGTTACCAAATAGTGCATTTGAACATTGAACCCTACCGAAAACCAAAAGTTGACGTTTTACTCAACAAGAGGCCCATGGGCCTTAACGGTCACCTGATATATTTATACAGAGAGTTGATTTTTGTTTTTAACATGAACAGAAATATTATTCAAAGTGACAAAAAACAATAAAATCACCTTATTCAATATCTAGCATGCAGATTTAAGACTGAAAAGTATTTGAAACTAGCACCTCTGATTCTAAACAACAAAAATGAAGAAATTTTATTTTAGCACACAGACTCCATTGGGCCCCACCCTACAGCCCTTGGGGGTAGGGATGGCTCAAAATTTACAAAGTATCAAACTGACAACTTAGGGTTATAATTCCAATCAAGTTATCAACATGTAATATTCAAAGCATCATTTGCCATTATAAACCATAA